CCCGCTGCGGGCAGGTGAGTGATGCAGGGGCGGGACGTCCCGCTGCGGGCAGGTGAGTGATGCGGGGTGCTGGGGCGGGACATCCTGCTGCGGGCGGGTGAGTGAAGCGGGGTGCAGGGGCGGAACGGGACGTCTTGCTGCGGGCGGGTGAGTGACGCGGGGTGCAGGGGCGGGGCGGGACGTCCCGCTGCGGGCGGGGGAGTGACATGGGGTGCAGGGGCGGGATGGGACGTCCCACTGCGGGCGGGGGAGTGACGGGAGGTGGGTGGGAAATGACGTGCTGGGGGAGGCGGGCGGGTGAGTGACGGGTGGGGACGGGACGTCCTGCTGCAGGCGGGTGAGTGACGGGTGGGGACAGGAGGTCATGCTGGGGGAGCAGGGGGAGGCGGGCAGGTGCCTCCCTGGGGCTGCCCTCAGGCAGAGGGTGGTGGAGTGAGACAAGGGGGCTTTGGTGCACATGGTTTTAGGCTGGACTCTAGAGAAAGAGGGGACCCCAAACTGTCCCCTTTGGTCTGTGGCTCCTGGGGATGGGTCCTGTTGCTGTGGGGCCCTTAAGTAATGTGGCGGGTGGGATGGATTCCTCTTGCCCCTCACAAAGGGGGCAGTCCTGGGTACAAGCTGTGGGGAAGGCAGGGGATGGGGGGGCTCTGGGCACAAGCTGTGGGGAGGGCAGAGGTTCCAGGGGGTGCAGGGGATCTGGGGTCCTTGGCCCAGCTCTCAGCCGCTCTCCCTGCCCCCCAGGCTGGAACGAGCTGCTCATCGCGTCCTTCTCGCACCGCTCCATCTCGGTGAAGGACGGGATCCTGCTGGCCACGGGGCTGCACGTGCATCGCAACAGCGCCCACAGCGCCGGCGTGGGGGCCATCTTCGACAGGTGGGAGGCAGGGGCCCAGGGGGCAGAGCGCTGGTAAGGGGGCTGCGCTTACCGGGGGGCACAGGGCTGGCAAGGAGGCTGTGGTTCCCATGGGGCACAGCGACGGGAGAGTCCGAGGGGGCCATTGCTGACGGGTGGGGACGGGGTCTCCAGGGCATGGCGTGGAGGGTCAGGAGGGGTCAGGGGAGCCCATGCTGAGTGCTCAGTGGGGCGGTGTTCCTGCCCCAGGGCCCACTGATGTGTGCGCCCCTCCCCCTCCAGGGTGCTGACTGAGCTGGTGTCCAAGATGCGGGACATGCGGATGGACAAGACGGAGCTCGGCTGCCTCCGGGCCATTATCCTCTTCAACCCGGGTAAGGGACCACCCTAGAATCCTCCCAACCCCCAACCCCCCGTCATCCTCTTCAACCCGGGTAAGGGACCCCACCAGAACCCCCCAACCCCCCGGGTGCTGCCT